CCTGCGCCCCAGGGCATCCCATGACTGTGCGGGATACGTGTGTGCGCATGTGTGCATGTGCACATGCGCACAAATCCTTGGTGAAGAAAGGAGTCCCGGAAGAGGACAGCGTTAAGGACCAGAGGGGCCTGGCCTAATAAGTGAAGAGACACACAGGATGGAGAGAGAAACCAGGAAAGGCAGTGGGGAGAAAAGGAAGGAGAACCCCAGGACTATCCAAGTTGGGGGAGCAGAGGCTGCATGTCTGGGCACAAGTGTGCCTGTGAGTGTGTGTGTCCCTGAGATCTTGCGTGTCTGTGTGTTTGTGCATTTGCACCCTACATAATGTGTGTTTATTTTTCCCCTTTTTTTTTTTTTTTAAAGATTTTTTGATGTTTATTTATCTTTGAGAGAGACAGAGCACGGGCAGGGAAGGGGCAGAGAGAGAAGGAGACACAGAATCCAAAGCGGGCTCCAGGCTCTGAGCTGTCAGCACAGAGCCTGACGCGGGCTCGAGCTCATGAACCGGGAGATCGTGACCTGAGCCGAATTCGGACACTTAACCGACTGAGCCAGCCAGGCGCCCCACATGTGCCTATTTCTTACGCATGATGCTTGAAGGTGGAGCTGGGGGAGGGCAAGTCCTTGAACCCATGTCCTTGTCAGCCTTGAGAGCACTCCAGCTGGAGTGCGGGGGCGGGAGAGGCCCTGTGGGGCAGGGGTGGCCTTTCCAGAGCCCTGCTCCCAGCCTGGCTCGGTCGGTAGAGGCTCAGTTTGCCTGTCTGCAACGCCCCCACCCCCCTCCTCGGTGTCTCCCTCCGAGGCTGGTCTTGGGCTCCAGATGGCTCAGCTCACTGTCCCTGTGAGCAGACCCAGGTCAGCCTGGCCGCCCTCCTCAATGCCCACCTCCCCCCTGCCTCAGGTCCCCTCTTGCAGGTTTCTCCCGAGTCAGGCCTCTCTGATGGGGCTGGGTCATGGAGAGCAGGCTTCCCCTCAGTGCCTTGCCTTTGCCACTTGGCCTCTTGGCCCACGTCCAGGAGCCTGCTAGGGGGAGTTCAGCAGAGAGAAAAAGTGGGGCAGGGTGGGCGGTTGTGTCTGGGCCGTGATGAGGGTACCCCGAGAGTGTGTGTCTGTGTAAGTTGGAGCATGACAGGTGTATCCGTGAGCAAATGGCATGCCCGTGTCAGAGCGCCCCTGGCAGCGCTGATGTGTGAGTGTGTGCAAGACAAGACTGTGTGTGAAAGTGTGGGGGGGGGGAGGGGCTGTGAGTACAAGCTCACATTTATCAAGCGCCCACTGTTAGTCAGGCAGGACGCTAAGTGCTTCGCTCAGATTATCTCATTTAGTAAGTGTGACAGCGTGTGAGAGGGTGAGAGAGGGGCGCAGAGGGCGGGTGGCTGGAGTCCTCGTGCACTGTGCCCCAGCAGGGCCACCCAGGCAGGTGTGAAGCGGGCCTCGGGCCCGTCACCATATGGAGGCCGGCAGCAGGAGGGAAGAGGCTATTCCCTGGGGTCCAGCCCGGCTCCCTGTCCCGTCCTCAGCTCTTCCCAGGGATGGGCTGACGACTGCCTGGTTCTTGTGTTCCCTCCCACTGTGCTTAGCACGGGCTTAACCAGGTGCTTAACCAACCCCTGTTCTTCCATAGAGGGCGAGGCAGGCCCTTGGAAACGTCTGTGCATTGGTTCAGCCTGGTCCTTACTCTGTAAATGTCACATGAAGGGGAGGAGAAGCCCCATGGGTCAGAAGCCAGGCCTCACAAACAAAGGAAGGAGTGGCTGCAGCTGTCTGAGCTGAGCCAAAACGGCTAAGGTGCCATTAGACTCACCCGAGGCCTCAGAGGCCCCTTCTTTGGCCCATTGCTTTATCCCACTCCTGTTTGGGTCTCAGGTAAGTGAAGGTGCTTGGAAGTGAGCACCGGAGTCTCTTGTCACCCCGGTGGTAACACTGCAAGGATTTCTAGAGGAACAGTGACAGGAAGGAGGGGGAGGGAAGAGGGCGGAGGGAGGAAAACCATGGAGGTAAATGGAGTCTCTCCTGTCCCCTGCATCAACCACCCTGTGGGGGCAGGCCAGTTATTCAGAGACATGCTCTACAAGGATCAGAAGACCCAGAACAGCAGCCGTGGGGAGGGCTTCCGGGAGGAAGCTGGCGGCCCTGGAACACAGGTTTGCCACAGGGAGGGGTCGGAGTTGGGGGAAGAGTTCCAGGAAGGGCCAGCAAGTACGTTTGGGGGTCAAATGCACCTCCGAAAGAGCACGTCACCTCCCACCCCCTCCCTGAGATGGTAGTTTTCAGGAAAATACTAGTATTAGTTTATCATTTGTTGAGTATTTTGAGAGAAATACGCTATTACTCCTGCATGAGGAAATCAAGTTTCAAAAAGGCAAAGGTACTTGTCCAAAGCCTCACACAGAACCAGCGCCGGGATCTGAACCCAGGGCTCGGCTTCAAGCCTCGGGTACTGACCAGCTCGTGTCACACTGCTGCCCACGCCTCAAGCCCACCCCTGCTAGGTCTCGGAAGTTGTGGCACCAGCACGGGCCAGGCTTTCGGGCTCAAAACCTCAGCGTCCCCTCCACCACCACTTCCAGCAGGTGCCAGATCCTGAGTATCCTTCCTCCTCAGGGTTGCAATCAGACGGCTGTGGATTCCGATCCCAGCTCCATCACTTGTCAGCTGGGTGATCCGGGGAAGTCACTTAACCTCTCTGTGCCTCAGTTTTCTTTACTGAGGGAAGGAGAATGGCACTTAGAGGATTGTGGTGAGATTTTTTATGTTTATTTATTTATTTTTAGAGAGTGAGGGAGGGGCGGAGAGGGAAGAAGAGAGAGAATCCCAAGCAGGTTCCGCACCGTCAGCGCAGAGAGCAGCTGTGGGCTTGAACTCACGAGCCATGAGATCGTGACTTGAGCCAAAGTCAAGAGTAGGACACTCAACCGACTGAGCCACCCAGGCGCCCCAGGGTTGTAGGGAGATTTTAACCAGTGAATGCCTGTAAGGAACAGAGCACAATGTCCGGCATAATAGATACTCAGGAAACATGAGCTATTTTTATTTCCACTAAACTGCATGCTGTGCTCGTAACTGTCCTGTACAGGGACCTGTCACTCCTGCCTCATACCTTGCAGACGAACAAGGCAGACTGGCCGGAAATTCCAGAATACATCATGCTACCTGCACCGGTCTGGCTCAGGCTACCATAACAAAGCCCACAGGCTGGGGGCTTAAACAATGGAAATTTATTTCCTCACGGTTCTGGAGGCTAGAAGTCCAAGATCAATAAAAAGTGTTGGCAGGTTTGGTTTCTCTGAGGCCTCTCTCCTTGGCTTGCAGACACATGGCCTTTCCTCTGTGTGTCTTTTCCTGTCTCTTTGTGTGTCCAAATTTCTTCTTCTTATAAGGGAACCAGTCAGATTGGATTAGGGCCCACCCATATAACATCATTCAACCTTAATTACTTCTTTAAAGGCCCTGTCGCCAAACACAGCCACTTTCTGAGGTATTGGGGGTTAGCTCTCTAACATACAAATATTATGGGGGACACAGTTCAGCTCATACTATGACGTTCCTTTTCCGGGTGTTTGCTCGTGTTGCCTTTCTCTCTGCCTGGAACACTGTCCACATTCTCTCCTCCCATCCCCTGAAGACAGCCTCCTACTCATCGTCTAAAACTCAGACAGAGCATCACCACCACCAAGAAGGCTTCCTGGCTAGACTGCTATCTCCTCTGGCCTCCCACAGCACCCTACCCATAATCGTGGCATGCACCACACTCTAAGAACTGTCTTTTCATATTGCCTGTCTCCCCTGCTCAGGTAGATGTCTGTTGTTTTGATCTGCACAGCATTTTCTCTGCCCCTTCCTCACGTGGAAGAAATGACACTCCCACTGGTACCTCCCCTCCTCATGGCCTCATTTAACCTTTCACCTCCTCACAGGGCCCATCTCCCCGGTCACCCTGGGGTTAGGGCTTCAAGATATGAATGAGGGTAGGGAGGACACAAACATTCAGTCCACAACAGTTGGTGAGAAGGTGGAGGAATTAGGACTCTCATATCTTGTTGGTGGGAATGCAAAATGGGGCACCAAATCATGGTTCCTGCTGCTTGCCACCAGGATGAGCATGTGACTCCTTCCTTGAGCTTTTCGTCTGTGAATGCTGGGTGAGAAGATACTTCCATTTCCCCTGGGGTCCAGAACGATGTAAGCCTGGAGCTGTGTGTGGCCGTGCCCCACTCTCCTCCCACCATGAAGGGCCTCAGAGGAAACACCTACTGTGGGCCAGATTCTTGAATGAACTGTAAACATTTTGTGTTTCATTTTCTAGTGTTTGGGATAAGTAATACATTTAAATGGTTCAAAAAATCAAAATAATATATAAAGCTATACAATGAGAGTGCTCAGTTTTATTCCTGTTCCTGACCCACCTCCGGCCACATGGCTAATCGCTTTATTTCCTGTAGATCCTTCAAATGGTTATTTATGGCAATATAAGCAAATAACAATTATATGTGTGTGTGTGTGTGTGTGTGTGTGTGTGTGTGTATGTGTGTGTGTATTATTGTCTCTCTCTTTTTTTAAAGCAGTGGCTTTTGGATCTGAAAGTCTGGGTTTCAGGCGCACCACATTTTTTCCTGATGTTTGTTTGTTTATTTATTTATTTATTTATTTGAGAGAGAGAGAGACAGAGCAAGCACAAGTGGGTGGGGGAGGGGCAGAGAGAGAGAGAGAGAGAGAGAGTGAGAGAAAGAGAGAGAAAACCTCAAGCAGGCTCTGCACTGTCAGCAACGAGCCCGATGTGGGGCTCGATCCCACAAACTATGAGATCATGACCTGAGCTGAAATCAAGAGTCAGACACTAAACTGACTGAGCCACCCAGATGCCCCTCTCCCTCTTTCGTCAAAGAAAGAATACTATACACACATATACTATATTATATAGTATTATATATAGTGCTACACCTTGTTTGTTTTCCTTTACCAATACATTCTGGTATGCTTTCTATAAAGTACCCCGTGACCCTTCTCTTTCTTTTTTATGGCTGCATAATATTCCAACGTGGGAATGAACTACAGAGTTCCTGATGATGAACACCAGGGTTATTTCCAATCTGTTGCAACCAATAGGCTGTGTAGGTATCGTTTTACATGAGTATAAGAATATATGTGGGCTTAATAATAAAATGATAAGCCAATTGAAAAAACTGGGCAAGATATTTGAATATACATTCCTCTAAAGAAGATACACGAATGGCTGATAAGCGCATGAAAAGATAGTCACCATTGTTAGCCATTAGGGAAACCCAAATCTAAACCACAATGAGATACCACATCCATGAGGATGACAATAATCAAAAAGACAGACAATAACAAGTGTTGGTGTCTTAGCCTACTCAGGTTACTATGACAAAAATACCACAGACTGGTTGGTTTAAACAACAGAAATTTATTTCTTATAGCTCTAAAGGCCAAGAAGTCCAGGATTAAGGTGTTGGCCAATTGGTTTCTTGTGAGACTTCACTTTCTGGTTGTAAATGGCTGCCATGTCACTGTGTGCTCAATGGACTCTTTGTGCACGTTCAGAGAAAGGAGAGAGAGCTCTGCTGTCTCTTCTTATAAGGGCAGCGATCAGATTAGAGTTCCACCATTAGGATTTCATTTAAGCTTTCACCTCCTCATGGGCCCCATCTCCAAACATAGCTGCACTGAGGGTTAGGGCTTCCGCATATGAATTTGGGACACATGAAAACATTCCGTCCATAATAGTTGGTGAGACTGTGGAGAAATTGGAACTCTAATACCTTGTTGGTGGGAATGCATAATGGTGCAACCTCTTTGGAAAACAGTTTGGAAGTTGTTCGAAATGTTAAACATGGAGTTATCCTTTGACTCAGAAAGTCTACTCCTAGGTAGATATCCAAGAGAAATGAAAACGTGTCCACGCAAAAATTTGTACGTGCATGTTCATAGCAGCATTATTCATAATAGGCAAAAATAGAAACAATCCAAATGTTGGATTCATCAACCGGTGAATGGGTAAACATGTGGTATATCCAGATAATGGAATATTATTAAGCAATAAAAACAATGAAGTACTGATCCATGCTACAGTATGGATGAAACTTGAAAGCATTATGCTAAGTGAAGGAAGCCAGCCACAAAGGATGACATTTGTATGAATTCCATTTATATGAAATTTCCAGAATAAGCAAATCTGTGGAGAGAGAAATTAGATTTGTTGTTGTCTGGGGCTGAGGCAATTGGTAGGAAATTACAGGGATTGCTAATAGGTATGGAGTTTCTTCCGGGGGGGGGGCGGGCGGAAATCTTTTAAAATAGGTTGTACCACTCTGTGAATAAACCAAAGTCATTATATTTTACAGGTTAAATGGGTGAATTGTGTGGTATCAGAATTATAACTTCAAAGAACTGTTGATATAAATAGAGTCCAAGAATTGCAACTGCTGGGCAAAAGGGTAAATGCATTTAAAATTTGATCAGTATTGACAGATGTGGCTAGAAGGTTCTTACATTTTTCATTCTCACTAGTGATATATAAATGTGCAAGGTGGGTACTGTTATCTCTATTTTATACAAGAAACTGAGGCCTGGATAATCCAATATCACGCAATAAATAATATCCAAGATGTAATAAATCAGTTGGTGCTCTGTTGCATCTTACTTATTTGGTGTTTTTCCTTTTTTTCTAAAAAAATTTTTTTTAACATTTATTTATTTTTGAGCGACAGAGACAGAGCACGAGTGGGGGAGGGGCAGAGAGAGAGAGAGAGGGAGACACACAATCTGAAGCAGGCTCCAGGCTCTGAACTGTCAGCACAGAGCCCAACGTGGGGCTTGAACTCATGAACCTGAGCTGAAGTCAGGTGCTTAGCCGACTGAGCTACCCAGGTGCCCCCCATTTGGTGTTTTTCCAACAATCATTTGATCTTCTAAAAACAAGAAGAATTTTTGATTGCATTGATTTTCTCTATGATATTTCTGTTTTCTATATCATTGATTTATGCTCTGATGTTTGTTATTTCTTCTTTTCTGCTGGCTTGGGCTTAATTTACTCTTCTTTTTCTAGTTCTTAGGGTAGAAGCTGATGACACTGATTTGAGACCTTTCTTGTTTTCTAATTCAGGTGTTTAGTCCTATAAACTTTTTCCTAAGTATGTTTCTTAGTGTCATTTCACAAATTCTGATATATTGTATTTTCATTTTCGTGCAGTTGAAAATACTTTTTTTTTTTAGAGAAAGGTCTTAAACTTTTTTTTTTTAACATTTATTTATTTTTGAGAGACAGAGAGAGACAGAGCATGAGCAGGGGATAGGCAGAGAGAGAGGGAGACACAGAATTTAAAGCAGGCTCCAGGCTCTGAGCTGTCAGCACAGAGCCTGATGCGGGGCTCAAACCCACGAACTGTGAGATCATGACCTGAGCTGAAGTCGGATACTTAACCAACTGAGCCACCCAGGCACCCCAGTTCAAAATACTTTCTAATGTTCTTTATGATTTCTTCTTTGGCCCATGGGATATTTAGAAGTATGTTAATGAGTTTCCACATATTTTGGGGATTTTATAGATCTCTTTTTATTATTGATTTCTAATTTAATTCTATTATAGTCAGAGAACATACTTTGTCTAATACTAAATTTATTAAAACTTGTTTTATGGTCTAGTTTGGTAAATGTTTTGTGCACATTTTAATAAAGTATACTCTACTGTTGTTGGGTGAAGTGTTTTATAAATGTCAATTAGGCCAAGTTGATTGACAGTGTTTATGCCTACTATATTCTTGCTGATTTTCTGCCTGTTTATTCTGTTGATTACTGAGAAAGGAATATTGAAGTATCCCCATCTATAATTGTAGATTTTCTCATTTATCCTTGAAATTCTATCAGTTGTTGATAGAATTTAAATTTATACTTAAAGCAGTTTCTTGGGGTGGCTGGGTGGCTCAGTCAGTTGAGTGTCCAACTCTTGATTTTACATCAGGTCATGATTCTCGGGCTGTGGGATTAAGCCTAGCATTGGACTTCATGCTGAGTGTGGAGCCTGCTTGAGATCCTTTCTCTCTCTGCCTCTGTCCTCTCTCCAACTCACACTCTCTTTCTGTCTAAAATAAAAATAATAATAAAATAAATTAAGTTTCTTATAGGCAACATGTAATCAGATCTTGCTTTGGATAAACAGCCTGACAATCTTGGCCTTCTAATTATGTTTTTTTGACCATTCACAGTTAATGTGATTATTAATATGAATGGGTTTAAATCTACCTTGCTATTTATTTTCTCTTTGTCCCATGTGTTCCTCATTCCCTTTTTCCCTATTTTTCTGACTGTGTTTTTTTAAATATCATTTTATGTCCTTTATTGTTTTAATTGGCTATATATGTATATATTTCTTAGTGGTTACTTTGGGGTTTATAGTATACATCTTTAATTTATCCCAATCTCTCTTCAAAAACTAGTATACCACTTCATGTATGGAATAAGAATCCTATAAGAGTATGTGCTTTCATTTCCCCCAGGCTTTATGCTATTGCTGTCACACATTTTACTTCTATATGTGTTATGAACCGAGAACACATACTCGTTATGTGTTTTTGCTTTAACCAATAAATTATCTTTTTTTTTATTTAAAAAAATTTTTTTAACGTTTATTTTTGAGACAGAGAGAGATAATGCATGAATGGGGGAGGGTCAGAGAGAGAGGGAGACACAGAATCTGAAACAGGCTCCGGGCTCTGAGCGGTCAGCACAGAGCCCGACGCGGGGCTCGAACCCACGAACTGCGAGATCGAGACCTGAGCTGAAGTTGGACGCTCAGCCGACTGAGCCACCCAGGCACCCCTAAATTATCTTTTAAATATGTTTTTAAATAAGAAAAAAAGTATTTGATATTTTGCCCCATAGTTATCATTTCTGGAGGCCTTCCTTGTTTTGTGTAGATCCAGGTTTCTATCTGGTATTTTTCCTTTGGTCTCAAGGACTTCCTGTAGCATTTCTTACAATGCAGTTTTGATAATAATTATTATTTCAGCTTTTTTTTTTTTAATCTTGGAAGAAGTCTTATTTCACCTTTGTTTTGAAATACATTTTCAGGGGCGCCTGGGTGGCTCAGTCGGTTAAGCGGCCGACTTCGGTTCAGGTCACGATCTCGCGGTCCGTGAGCTCGAGCCCCGCGTCGGGCTCTGTGCTGACAGCTCAGAGCCTGGAGCCCGTTTCAGATTCTGTGTCTCCCTCTCTCTCTGCCCCTCCCCCCCCATGCTCTGTCTCTCTCTGTCTCAAAAATAAATAAACGTTAAAAAAAAAATTTGAAATACATTTTCAGTGGGTACAGAATTCTAGATTGATGGGGGCTTTTTGTTTTATTTTTACATTCCATACTTTAAAGATGTTTTACCACTGTCTTCTGACTTGAATTGTTTCTGATGAGAAGCCTGCTGTCATTCTTATCTTCATTTCTTTGTATGTAATCTGTCTCTTTTTCTCTGGCTGTTTTCGGATTTTCTCCTCATCACTGGTTTTAAGCAATTTTACTATTACAAAGTTATAATAATAAACTTGCCTTGGTGAAGTTTTATTCATGTTTCCTATACTTGATGTTCTGTGAGATTTTTGATCCCCTGGTTTAGTTTTTAACAAATTTGAAAACTTTGACTATTATTTCTTCAAAATATTTCTGCTCCCCTCCTCTTTTGGGGACCCCAGTTACAAATATACTAGGCCTCTTAGAGTTGTCCCACAGCTCATTGATGATCTGTCCATGTTTAAAAAAAATTTTTTTTTCTCTATATATTTCATTTGGGATCTTTCTATTGCTATGTCTTCAAATGTACTAATCCTTTCTTCTGTGCTATCAAATCTGTTATTAATCCTTATCAGTGTATTCTTCATCTCAGACACTGTATTTTTCATCTCTAGAACTTAAATTTGGTCTTCCTCCCTCCCCACACCCATCCCAGTATCCCCGTAACGTGATCAGTCATTACTTTAGCTTCCTGAGCATATGGAACATAGTTCTATTGTTTTAATATCTTTATATGCTAATTCTATCTTCTGTGTTATTTTGGGGTCTGTTTCTATTGATAAACTTCTCCTTATCAAGGATTGCATTTTCCTGCCTTTTTTTTTTTTTTCATCTATGCTAGTTTTAGGTTGGATTCCAGACATTGTGAATTTTACCATGTGTGCTGGCCATTTTAACGTTCCTATAAATATCCTTGAGCTCTGTTCTAGGATGCAGTCAACTTACTTGATACTTGAAAAAGAGTTTGATTCTGTTGAGACTTGCGTTTCAACTTAGGTCCTTAGGCAGGACCATTACCTTTTTTCCCACTCCTGAAGCAATAGCCTTCTAAGGAATCAATTAGATGCCCCATGACTTACGAGGTTTTTCACTCTGATTGGCAGGGATACAAACCGAATGGTCTTGTGTGTACTTTGCAAACTGTTTCCTCTGCTCCTTTGGGATGTTCTTTCCTCCAATTCTGATAGTTTCCTCACATACAAGTGCTGTTCAATATTCAGTTGAAGGCTTGAGGGGAACTCTCTGTAGATTTTTGAGGCTCTCTCTCTCTCTGCAAGGCTCGCTTCTCTGCAGTTCTCTGCCCGGTGAACTCTAGTTGCTTTGGCCTCCCCAGACTCCTTGCTCTATCTTCTTAATGCAGAGACAGCTGGGACCCCGCTCCCTGTGCTGCAGCCTGGAAACTCTCCCCAGGCAGAAGCTGGCAATCGTAGGGCTCACCTCATTAGTTTCTCCTCTCTCAGGGCTTGCTATTTTGTGCTGCCTGATGTTCAATGTCTGAAAACTGTTGTTTTGTATATTTTCTGTGGGTTTTCAGTTGCTCAGAACAGAGGGTAAATTGACTCCCTGTTGCCTGCTCTTTCCAAAAGTGCTATAGCTACATTTTAATATTTAGCTATGACTATGATCTTAAATATTAGATATGACTAACCCATTTTACAGATGAGGAAAATTGAGGCTTAAAGAAGGCGTTACAGAAGAGTTGGGAGGCAGAATAATGTAACACGTAAAAAGATGGGTTGTTTGACTCTCAGATTCCCCATCTTTAGTTGTGAGACCTTGGACAAATTGTCTAGCCTCTCTGTGCTTCATTTTCCTCACTTGTATCAGTGGGATGATAATAATAAAAACTACCTTATGGGACTGTTATGAGGATTAAATGAGTTAATATATAACTGGCATATAGCTACTATGTAAGTATGCGTTATTATTATCCGGGCAGAATAGTTGACAAATCTAGAGCCGAGTGACAAGCAGACTCATTTTGAATTCCAGCTCCATCACTCGCTCACTCACTGTGAACTCCTCGCCCTGTGCATCAGTCAAGGTTCAGTTAGAGAAGCCGAACCACTAAGGAGGTTCTAACCAGAACCGTGTCGGAAAGAGCATTCTGGGAAATGTAGTCCAGCTGAGGCGAGATGACTCATGGCAAAGCCCGTCACACCACGCCACTTCTCTGCGCTGAGAAATCGAGTTCCTCATCCGTGAGATGGGATAGTAACTCATGGAATGAAATGAGATGATGCACCTGAAGCGCTTGACACGTCGTCTGGGTTCAAGAAATGGTTCTTACTGCCCGGGATCCTACCGCTAATAATGGCAAGAGGCGTGAGCTATCCCCAAAGCCTGTTGCTCTCCCCCCTTCACCGTGCTGCCTCCCTGTGCCGGGCCTGGAAGTATGGAAACGAGGAGGACAGTTCCTATCCCCGGACAGAGGGGTAGGCCAGAGGCACGAGTAAGTGTAATAGGGGACAGGAAAAGGAAAGCGGTCACCGTGAATGGGACCGCCCACAAGACTGGCACTGAGCTGGATCCTCTACAGGGAGAAGCGGAGGAGGGACCAGGATTTTCTGCATGCCTACTGTGTGCCAGGCACTGTGGGAGGCACTTTACGTGACCATCACAGGGAGTCATCACAGCCAAAAAACGAGCTAGGTAGTATTATTATCCCTGCAATACAGACAAGGGAACTAAGACTCAGAGAGAGTAAGTCCTCGCCCTCGGTCACTGAGTGACCACCTGCCAGAGCCCCCGCGTCCCCGGAGACGGCTAGAATGGCGGTGGAAGCGGCACCGTGGGGTCATCCTGGAGGCGGTGGCTCTCCGGAGCTGGCAGCCCGGGCTGGCTCCGCGCCCCGCCAGGCCGGCCTCTGTGCCCGTGTCTGCCCGTGGGCGGCAGGCGCTCTGGTGGCTGCAGTGCCGTGGTGGTGGCAGCGGCGGGCGGCAGCAGGGAGACAGTCACACCTCGCTGTTTTGTAAACTGTTTCTCACAGCTTGTTTGTTCCGGGTTAGGGCTGGAGCGGCACCGTATGGAAGTGTGACTCATTGTTTAATGTGGCAGCTCATTAGTAGATCTTGTTGCTGCCTCTGATTTCTCTGCTCCCGCTAATTGGAGAGCCCAGTGGGGCCCCAGCTTCCCGTGAAGAACAAGCCAGTCCCCAGGGCTCCAGCCGGCCCTTGCCCCTCCGGCTCCCGAGGAGGCCACCCCACGCGGTGGGCACTGGTATCAGCCAGGCTGGGTTCAAATCCCAGCTCATCCCGGCTGTGTAACCTTGGGCAAGGAGCCTGGTCCGCCCCTCTCTGAGCCCCAGTTTCCCTACCTGGCCGGTGGAGGAAGTAGTGGCCACCTCATCAGAGTGGGTGGGAGGAAGAGTAACCATAAAGTCTCCTGGCGCATAATAGATGGTCAGTAAGTAGGTGTTGTAGTGCTACTATCATCAGGCCAGAACCTGAGGGCACCCCTCAGTCCTGACCCCCTGGGGCAGCCACCCAGGCCAGAGGAAGTGCGAGGTTCCAGGTGGGAGGACCTATTCGCTGCAGGTAATCTTCCTCGCATGCTGCCCCTCCTCAGGCAGATCTGCCAGGCTCCGTCCACCCTCTGCGCCCCCAGAAGAGGGAGCCACAGTGCGGGCCCAGCCTTGAGTGGGGGTCGGCCTCCCTGGAGCTCTCCCTCAGGCCCCTGTTCTCATCTTTGAGCCACCCAGAACACGTCTGCTCCCTGGGCCCCAGGACTGTCCTCTGCTCTTTGGAGACAGCGGCCACGCCTCTCTCCACATCCTCTCTCCAGGTGGAACCTGGGTCCCTTCCGTGACATGGGTCACGGGGTCGCGGGATGCAGCCCCAGTTGACGGCGATGTCAGCGGTGCCCCTGGAGGTGTGCAATGCTGTGACCTCCTTGTGGGTCCCTTTCCCAGTTTCCTCGTTCTGTCTGGATATGCTCCTCCCTGCCCTACCCTTCCCTTTGAGACCCGCCCTGTCCGATAGCAATATAAAGTTAGCCCTGTGTGTATCTTTAAATTTTCTATTTTCTTTATAAAAGCCTTTTATTTATAAAAATAAGAAAAAAATCGGCAACATTAATTTCAAACCATATTGAATATAACCTAATACATCCAAAGTAGTATCATTTCAACATATAATCAATATAAAAATCATTAATGACAAATCTCAAACTTTTTTTTCTTTTCATACTGTATCAGATGTGTTTTTACCCTTACATCACATCCTATTTGGGACGAGCCATGTTTCAAGTACTCAGTAACCACATGTGACTTGTGGCTATGGTGTTGGACATATGTGATGCACTTCTGGACTCTAGCTCTATTAATGTGGTCGGAGCTGGCTTGGGTATTGTGGCTAACACATCACTCTGATTCAGGAGGAAAGAATAAACTGGTCCCTGAGAGTGAGGGCATCTGGCTGTCGGGAGGTCCGGGACCCCGTCTGGGTTCTATTACCAGCTCGCTCCACACGTGACTGTGGATAAGTCACTCCTCTCCTCCAGGCCCCAGAATCCTCATCTGACAAATGTGAGGAATTCTCTGGGTGTTCTGTCAATGTTCTCTTATGTATTTCTTAGGAAAGCCCCATGATGTTTCCCAATTGGGGAAATGGAGGCTCAGAGAGATCTCACCTCTTCCTCACATTCGGGGCTTGTGGATTCCCGCAGCTCGCGGGCTGGTCGCTCCTGGATACCAGTGGGGCTCAGTTTCAGGCAGGCAGCCCTCAATCCTGTCCCCTTCCTTATTGTTAAGGACAGGTGATGGCAGCATATGCAGGTGCTTACAGCGCATGCAGGTGTTTGCAGCGAATGCAAGTGTTGACAGTGCATGCAGGTGGAGATCTGCTAAAGGAAAATGCCTCCATCTGCTCAGCTATCTGCTCTGTCTCTCCATAGCCGTCTCACACAGTGGGGGCTTGAGGTCAGGTGCCGGCCCCTCCCTGTGTTTGTTTCTGCTCCACCAGGACGTATCAGAGTAAAACCCGGACACCACCTCACTGGAGGCTCCCTCCCTCCATCTGTTTCTTCCCCCAATCCTTGAATCCAGCTGACTTCTCCTTCCTGACCACAGACTTGTCTTCCAGTTCCAGAGCCGTCATCTGTCATCTGTGTGTTTTTACACTTAAAAACACATCTGTCACATCTGTGTGACTTCGAGCAAATCACTTTATTTGAATCTTCACTTCCCTGTTTGGGATGGGGGAGAACCTCCCCTTCCTCGCAAGGTTGACGAGAGTAACAACAGAGACGATATACGTGAATGCGCCTGGCTGGGTACTTTCTGTAAATGTTAACTGTGGCCGAATATTTACAAGTCATTTTAAGAACCACTGAGTTTTACTCTTCCAAACTGGACCTTGCCGGGTTATTCAACAATGCTCTGCGTGGCTTTGTCCCCTTTCCCCAGCCAGTCGAGCCTTCTTAGCTCCCTACGGTCTTCTGAGCGGAGTGATCGTCCACAGATGACCACTCTCTCTGGTGAGAGCACAGGACGATGGGGCTGGAGGGGTCTTGGCAGTCATGCCTGGGGGGCACCTCACCACCAAGACCGACCGTCTTTGCAAATAACACAGATGTGACTTCTGTCGTGAATCTTTCTACCTGTATTGCACCCGTTCCCGTGTCCCCCAAAAGAGAATGATTGACATGAATTTAACTTTTTCTCGATGCACGATCATCATCACAGCCGGACGTTTTTATATTAAAACAGTAAGAGCGCTCACTTCCGTTGCGTGTGTCTGTGCACTTGTATCCTGCAAATGGCATCCTCCGGTTCTTACACGACCCCGAGGTAAAGTTTGCCTATTATCCTCTTCTCACGGGTGAGGAAGAGACTTGTCCGGGCCTCACTGCAGAGGGACGTGATCCACCCCGCTTCGGCAGCATAACCTCTCGATGGCCTCTGGGCTCTTCTCCTGGGGCCCCTGATGGACTAGGAGTCCATATGTGAGCCTCAGAGGCTGGCCTTGCCCTTGCTGGGGGCTGGGGACACACACCAGGGACAGCCATTGCCTTGCTTTGGGGCCTGCGCTGGTCTGAGAAAGGGAATAGTGCAGCACAGGCTTTGAAGCCTTTGCTTTCTTGACCCGGCTGTGTGCTGCCTGAACTAGTTCCCAGTTCCTCCTTCTTTCACACTCTCTTCTCCTGGCTTTCATGAGCCCCCCCTTTCTTAGCTTTCTGGCTGTTTTTCCCAGAATCCTTTGCAGTCTGACCCTGCTCTGCTCCCCTTAATGTGCTGGCGTCCTTCAGCACCCCCTTTGGCTCTCTGCCCTCTCCACGTCTTCCTCCACATCACCCCCAGGGTCTTAGTCTTGAACTTACTCTCCTCAAGCAAATGATCACCTTGAAACTACACATCGAAGGAACACGTGCACTGAGCCCGGCAGGCCCACTTCGGGGTCCTGGCTCTAGCTCTGTGGACTTGGGCAAGTGCCTCATCTCCCCGAGCCTCAGCCGTCCTAGCTATATAGAGACACTGACAATACCTACTTAGACCCCCAGGGTCTCTGCGCCACGGACTCCCAGAAACACATGTCCCATGCGGCCCTCTTCCCAGAGCTGAGGCTGTATACGGATGTACATGTCTTCCCCAGCTGAGTCCATCATCCTTCTCTGAAGCTCCCCCACCCCCTCTTGTGGTCTCTAGCTCAGGAACCTCCTCCCAATTATCCTATGCTTTATGACAATACAGGCTACCGTCTCTCAAGGGCTTCTAGAGTACAGACCCAGGCTAAGTGATCCCATGGCTCTCACTTGATCCTCCATCAACCCGGGGAGGTTGCCAGTATTTTATTATCATACCCATTTCACGGACGAAGATGCGGTAACAGAAGCCCCTGGCACATCGCAGGCGCTTGACAAGGGCTGGTTCTCTCTTTTGGCTTCGGGTTTTTCAAGAGTCGAAATTCATAAATGAAACTGACTAAGCCGGAACCAAGCCGAGGTGCCCAGCACTCATTCCCACCCAGAGGTAGGGGTCCACGTTGCCCTGTGACTCCAGCTTGGCACGCCGGATGGATGCCTGGTCTGCTTCCTTGTCCTGAGGTATCTCATCCTCGGCTCCCTCCTGCTGAAATCCAGACCGTGCCTCAAGAGGCAGCCGCTGTGCAGAGTTAGTTACCCAGGAACCCCATTTCAGGTGTGTGGCCCCGAGGCTGTTCCCTCTCCCCCCCCCCCCCCCCCGTAACAGCTGCAGGACAGGTGATGGTGGTGCTTTCAGGTGGTGGTCTGCGAGGTGCTTTCTAGTGACTGCCTAGGTATCTGTCTCTCCAGAGCTGTCCCACCGCATCGGGTGGTTATGAGGCCAGGTACTGCCCCTCTCCATGTGTGTTGTTGTTGTCATAACTATAATAATGATTATTATTGGCATTATCGTCCCATGAGAGCCCGTGAGGTGGGTATTATCAGTGCCCGTCTATAGCTAAGACAGCTGGGGCTCGAGGAGATGGGGCACTTACCTGAACCTACAGAGCTAGAGCCAAGACCCAGACTGGGTCTGCTGGGCTCAGGGTGCATGTTCTTCCAATGTGTAGTTTCAAGGTGATCATTTGCATAAGGAAAGTAAGATCGAGTTCTTCTTTTAAAAACATTTTTTGACGTGTATTTATTTTTGAGAGACAGGGAGAGACAGCGTAAGCAGGGGGAGGGGCAGAGAGAGGGGGAGACACAGAATCCGAAGCAGGCTCCAGGCTCCGAGCTGTCAGCACAGAGTTGGATGCGGGGCTCGAACTCACGAACGGCGAGATCGTGACTTGAGCCGAAGCTGGACGCTTAACCAACTAAGCCATCCAGGTGTCCCGAATCAAGTTCTTCTTTTTAAATTTTTTTTTTCAACGTTTTTATTTATTTTTGGGATAGAGAGAGACAGAGCATGAACGGGGGAGGGGCAGAGAGAGAGGGAGACACAGAATCAGAAACAGGCTCCAGGCTCTGAGCCATCAGCCCAGAGCCCGATGCGGGGCTCGAACTCACGGACCGCGAGATCGTGACCTGGCTGAAGTCGGACGCTTAACCGACTGCGCCACCCAGGCGCCCCCCAAATCAAGTTCTTCTTAAAGTGACTTGTAAGATGTAGGCATCCCCCCAGAAAAAGACTGAAGATTCGGTCACAATGAATATTTACTCAAAGTACTGGGTGAGGCGACACATATAATGTGTCGGCTGTTAGTCCTGCCAACCTTGTGAGGGGGGGGGGGTGGTTCTCCTCGATCCCAGACACAGAAGCAAAGATTCTGTTCAAAGCAGTGATTTCCTCAAAGTCACCCGGGTGACAGGTGATGCTCTGGGATCAAAAAGCAAGCCTTTGAGACTCCAAGGCCTGTGCCCCTTTCCCCCGCGAGACGATGGCCACGAACAGGTGCTGGGGAAGAAGCAGGTGAAGGGAGAGAGCCTTGGGTG